AGAAGTTAGCTCAAAATCAAGCTTGTACTACCACTTAAACCATTCTAACTAACACTTTAAGCGTGAGCCGTGGTCAGTAAAAAATGATGTTATAAAACTGCGTATTTAATTCCAAGATTTTTAATCTAACAAACATGAGACGAATAGCTAAAAAATAGCAGGACGAAGCGTCGCCTTATTACAAAGGTTACTAACAACAGAACAACATAGAACAAAGTGTGTTAGTTAGTAGGTGGAACCTAATACATAAATTCTAGTATATGTACACTGCGGAAAAATTAAAAAAAAAAAACTGAAAGGTTTCAGATTTTAAATTACGTCTAAAAGGGCGTTCCCCCCCCCGTTTTGTGTGTTACCTTTATTTATTAAATATCATGTTCTTTGCACTTAAACCATAAAATTCAGTTCAACAGCAATGTCGCAAAATAATTTTAAAATGAGCATATCTTTAGAATTTTCGATTCACAGATAAAAAGTCCCCCCCCCCCGTAGAGTGTTGCCATTGCTCGCTTTTAAATCGTTGAGTCTGTTACTCAAAAATTCGTTAATGTTTTACAAAATATGAAATCGATAATAAAACAAATTCCAAATTTCAAATTTGGCCTTCCACATGCCCATATTCGTACGAGGATTACGTCATTCAAAATTCGATGGCTCTGTGTACCGTTGTTTCATCACAATGCGAGAAATATACATACATTTATGCAGATTTTTCATTATTTAAGTTCTGCATTATTAATATAATGCAGAACTCTAATATTTGGTGGCAACAGTTTGAAGAGTGATTCGCCGTTTATAGTGATTCAACGCAAAACGAAAGCATGTGTGTGTGTGTGTGTGATTATGGCAAAGCCTCGAGGGCTATCTGCCTAAGAGGAGGGATGCCTTCGTGGAGGACTTTCTAAGGGAAACTGGCTTGTATACACGTTACACATGGGGAAAACCACAAAACGAAAGCAATAGTCCGAAGGGACAAAGAAGCCCCTTTGGACTAAAAAGGAACAGTTCTATATCTTCCGTTCTACTGCGCGGATTGACGAAATTCAACTTACGTTTCTCATATCTTGAAAGCGCGAGTTAGGATATGTATAGCATTGTTGTAATATAGGTATTTTGACACAAAATCGGACTTTTTCTGAAAAAACATGCCAATTTTTTTTCCATATTTCGATTCTACGACTCAGATTATGTCAAACTGCCAAATTTTGTAAAAAATCACACGAGTAATTTTTAAAATATTAGCTCTCAAAATTTTAGCTCCTCAGTGTTAATTGAATTTGATATATATTTATTAATATCTCTTTTTTTTTTTTTTCATTAAACTTACTTGATTTCTTCTTCGAGAATTCGAAATTTAGGTTCATTCCAAATAAAATTTACCCCTTTTTTTATGATTTATTTTTAAAATTTGTATTTTTAAATAATTTTTATACATTTTTCGAAAAAAAATTTTTAATTAAAACCTATAAAATTTTTACCATCATCTTTAGATGCATTTCTAAGTATATCTGCAAAAAGTTTTTTACTCAAAATTTCCTAGGATCAACGTGAATTTACATATTGGCACGTTTTGAAATTTGGCATATTTGTTGGAAGTGATAATAACGCCAAATGTGATTTATGCACTTTGTTAAAATTATTTGAAATATTGATGGATGGCTTTTTTTTTCTTTCACTCGTTTACAATAAAAAAGAATAAGGGAAAATAGGTTGCTTTAAATTAAGAAGTTCGCCAAGTGAATTATTCTTGGCGCAAACTGAAAAAAATATATACCTAAATAAATTTTTCAATTTCTCCATAAATTTCACACCAAATTTTACAAAATTTAAAATTTAGGCATAATTTGATTCGTAGAATTGAAGTATGGGAAAAAATTGGCATGTCATATCAGAAAAGTCCAATTTTGTGTCAAAATACCTATATTAGAACAGTGCTATATATAAATCTAATATATATCCTAAGTCATGCTTTCGAGATATGAAAAACGCAATCTGAGTTCCATCACTCGGCCTAGTAAAACGAGAGATATAGAACTGTCCACTTTTTCGGGGAGGAGGGGACAGCGTATATACAATCAATCTTTCTTTACATATTCTATGGTACAGTCAAAAGTCGTTAACCCGGACTCGTCGGGACTTTGGCGATTCCAGATTATCGATTTTTCCAGACTATAGATCATCAGTTTAAATCTGGTAAGATGGCATGCAGAAATTATAAAATTAAAAATATGAAACCATAATTTATGAAATAAAAAAAAATTATGATCTAAAGGGTATCAAAATTTACAAAAAAATGCTTAATATTTATTTGTTTACTTCATTAAACATTTCTTTCAATGTAAGTTGTTTAAGTTGCTTCGTTTTTTATGTGATAATACTTCCTCTTTAATTCTATAAACAGACATAATTTCTTGTTCAGTTACAAAGTTCCGCTGTTCAAGTCCTATAATTGCTGTATCAAGAATACCGACTAATTTGTCAATCGAAATGTTTTCGTTTTCTTCTTCGCTATCGGAAGCGAATTATGATGACGAGGGATTTGATTTAAATCATATCAAAGACGGAGTACATCGAGATGAAATACTACATTTAATAAGGAATTATAAGCCGAAAAAATAAAAAAACATCTGCCCTGAAGATAAGGATAGTGCTGACAGATCAACTTCCAGTTCATTGCGCGCAGTGACACACACGCAGCGACCCCCCCCCCCCCGCCCCACACACGCAGAGCAACGTGAAATTGATAAACAGATTTCGGAGTGGTTAGATAAACAAAGGATATGCCTTTATCCATTTTTTGCAACAATTCCGCTTTTTGTTTAATGGACTTCGAAACATACTTTCGCTTTGTAGATCCTTTACATATTAGTAAATATATATCGGAAATTCTATTTCACATAATCGAAAGTTCAAGCTTACTTTTATAAAATTGCTCTAACAGTCTGCAAAAAATAATAACCCGGATCCAATTCGAAGATTAAGGAACAACACAATCTGCAACATTAACTGAATTAGATAATTTTAGCTTAGCTTATACCGTCTGTTATGCATTAAACGCGCATTCGTAAACATATTTTGCGCATGCGCACACGCATATTCGCAGCCGTAAAGGTCTTTCGCGACGCATGCGCAGAAAGTTTTTAGCTTTGAGTTCCGGATTATGGGTGTCCGAATTAACGACTTTTGACTGTATTGAATACCTAGACCTGCTCATAATTAAACACAGCAAAATTAAATTATATGATAAAAGGAGGAATTTCCAGTTCCTATTAAATTAATTAATTGGAACTCTAATATTTCTGGAAAAGTAATAAGTAACACTTTTTATAGCCAAATAATCAGAATGAAAAATATATGTACTGAAATAGAAGATTTAAAGGAAGAAACAATAAAGCTAATTAATGTTCAAGTTAATAACCAAGTCCCAACATAATTTATTAATTTATATGTTAAAAAGGCAGGTATTAACTTTTCTTTATAATTTTTTGACTCTTTATGGTATGATAACATTACCTTAAACTGGAGGGTAATGGAGGATTTTGAAGAGTTAAGGGATTATCTTGTAAATATATATTGTAAATATTAATTTGTAAAAATGCATATTTAAACAATACTGGATTCTTTCCTTTTACTAATGGAGGGCCAACTCTTTTCAAAAGTCTGAATTATAGCCCGAATTGAGTGAAGATTTTTGAATTATAGCTCGAATTGAGTGAAGGTTTTTATCTTTTTCTAATTTTCCTTACTTTTGGCTAGTATTTAGTAGGGTTTTGATTAAACTTTATGAAATTCAATTTTACTTAAGACTATTACAATAAATTTCTTACTTTTATTTAAAACATTTTAATATTTTTCAAAATTAAAATTAAATTGATTAATTTACTTGAAAAAAAATTTTTCATACTTTATTTCAAAAACATTTCCGATTTTTTACAGTCCTTAATATTATACTATCCTTAATAGTTTGCAACCATTTTTTCACATAACCTTACAGTTAGCATTTTTACAATTTTTTACACATTTTTACAATACTTCACAGTTAGCAACGTTTTTGCAACAGAATACACATTTTACATAACTTAAAAGTTTAAAAAATAGGTTTATAAGATAGATCTAACATATAGTTGCTTAACACTCAACTTTATATTAGCGCCCTCTATGTATAGTTTTAACATCACTTAGTTTGGCAAATGCTGCTCCACTCTCCAAATACAAATATAGTTAGTAAGTTAAATTAAAACTTACTATTTACTTGCCTTTTTAGTTTGCCTTTTTAGTTTTATTGTTTTAGTATTATGTATGTATTTTTTGTAGATAGTATCTAGTTTCTTTTTGATTTATATGTATATTCATGTAGGGGAATTTTCTGTAGGCAAGAGTTTCTAAGTTTTGGTTTTCTAAAAAATTTGGTTTTATACTCTTAATTGACTTTTTTTGATTTTAATTCTAGTCATTTACTTGCTAATCTTGCTAATTTCTCAAAATTCCACTTGTTTAAATTTATTTTTAGTAATTCACGTCATTTGGTTTTACTTTTGGTTTTGAAATTTACTTTTACTCTTGCCTACATGAATTAAATAACTGAAGAAATAGATTTGGAGGCAACTTTCCCTTAACAAGTCTGTCTCCTGCCTGCTCAACAATTATTCACTTATGCATTTTTATAATTTTTTAGGATTAGAAATTTTTTTGAAATTATATACATGTTTCTTCATGGATTTTGATACTTGCACTTGATTTACATATGTTCTCAGAATTTAAATGATATTGTAGATTAGTTTGCAGCAATAATTAATCATTTATTTGTTTGCAATTAAATTTGATTAACTTTTAATTTGCTTTTTATGAATAGAGAATGTTAGTTAAATTCAAATTTCATTCCTTGCAACAATGGCACTAGAGAATTATTTAAATTTAATTTAACTTTACTATTTCTTCTTTTGAAACAATTTTAAGCTATATATATATATATAATCTTTATTTTTTTCGTCACATTTTAGCTCCTCCACAAAAAGAACTGCCGAATCAAACACTCATAAAGCAGAGTTATTAGAAAAAGTGCCAGTTTTACCTTATGACATTGATTTGTATCACTGGGAAGATGAGAAGCTAATTGTTCCTGAGGTTGTCAAGTGTGTATTTGAAATTTTATTCTTCTCTAAATTCTATCTTAATTATATTCATAATATGTTTTCTCTCCTTATTAGAACTATTATTTTCACAGGTTTTGTTCGGATGAATTATTGTGTTCTTTAATTTGTAAAGCTTATTTATATTTTTTTAGGTTTTTTTAATACTTAGTTTGACAGGGTTGCCACGCTACCTGGAAAAACCGGGAAAAGTCAGGGAATTCGAAAATTGACCAAAAAATTCAGGGAAAAGTCAGGGAATTTAAGTATTTTTGTCAAAATCTGGAAAAGTCAGGGAAGTTCATACAATGATCCCGCCAAAAAAAGCGATTTTTGCGCCGACGTCGGAAGAGATAACTTTTTTGGCGAATTGCCTATCACGTGAGTGTCTGCTGGCATAGAGCCAATTTTCGCAGCTCCAATTTGATTGTCTTTTTAGAAAGGCAAAGCAAGTTTCCCACAACTTTTGGTTTCCAGTAACCTCGAGAATCGCATGTGCAGTGCATGAACTAAAGAAAGTACCTGTTCTCGTATAAAACAAAATGGGCTTAATCTTAGTATACGGTACCATGGAGGTTAGAATTAAAGAATATGTATTGTAAAGAAGGAAACCTCTCTGCAACAGACGTGGCTCCGTTCCATCATAGAGGGAAACAGCTGTGCATGCGTGATATATCTGCCGCCAAAGCTGGAAACCCGTGTCGAAGTTCGAAGGTCACGTTATCAGAGTTCATTAAATGAAATCCTTTAAAATTTCTTTAACCACTTGCGCTAAAAAGACGTGCCACGCACGTCGAGATGTTTTTGTCTCAAACTGCGAGCGACGTGAACACCACGTCGATAAGCATTTATCGCAAAAATGAAAATAACATTGTGCACACGTCGCCTAACACGAGATTGTTTATTTCTCGAGTTACAGCTCTGGATTGCACTCGCAGATGCGGAGCGGCGTAAATGAGACACTTTAACCACTTGCTATATTGTAGCGCACGGCACCGCAACGTGAAGTTTAGTATTAGCGCAAAGTAGTTAAACTCTAAATTAAAAGAAATATTTTTTGGCGCAAGTAAATTAATTCATGGGTTAGTAATTTTCAGGGGGGGGAACTACGAAAATCCGTTTCTAAAATTATTGCGAAAAATCCAAGAAGAAACGTCCTTTGATAAAACGTTTCTTCTTGGATTTTTCGCAATAATTTAAAAACGGATTTTCGTAGCTTTCTTTTTGTCAAAGAACGTTTCTTCTTAACACGTTTCTCAATTTCCGGTACACATCGCGGAGAGGGAAATTCTGGCCGCCAGGTTCCGTTGCCAAATCCCTTGGCAAATTTTCCCTCCGCATTCTAGCGGCGTTAGCATTTTACTTGTATGGAAAATTTTCTTCTTTACATAGACCAAAGAATTAGAGATTCTTTGCATAGACGTTTTTTGGTTAAAATAATCTCCATGTATGGATTTGGCGACATGATGATGCGCAGTAAACGGGTCATTTGGTCTTGGCGACAATTTTCAAAATCGTGCCAAAGCCTTTACCGTATACTAGGAATTTTACCGCAAAATCCTTTTAACCCTCCCTTTTCTTTTTAAATAAATACCTTATTTGTCACTTTGCAGTAAAATAAAAAAATAGTAAACATCTGTCATCTAGGCTAAACCATTGTAATATAACTATATTCGCCTAAAATATCGTTTGATTATTCTAATTCAATTTTTAAGTAATTATCTTTATTTATGTTATTCATATAATTTAATGATGCTTCTTCCCTCTAAATTATTAATTATTACTAAATAATATTTCTAAATTTCAGGAAATTTTCTCTGGCATAATCTTGAAATTAATTCTAGCAGTATGATGACATACCATCACGAAATTTAATGCACATATTTTTTTCTTATGTATGCTGCGAAATAAATATAAAATACCTCAATTTATTAAAATAGATTTCTTTCTTTCGTTTAGCTGCAGAATGTCTGCAAAAAAAGCCTTATTTTATTCCAGGTTGGGAAGATTCTAATCTCAATTTTCAATGGAGAAAACAACAACTATTATAATTATATTTGTGTTTTCAAGTGTTAGGTGCTTTTTAAGAACATACCTCACACAAATTAAATTTACCTAAAATCTAACCTAACTATTTAGCATTGCATTGTGATTTATAAGGACCGAATTAGCCTCATGTTGAACTGATGATGATCATAAGTAATAATTAAATAAAACATACATTTGTTATCCAATGTATATATCTTAAATTTTATTAAGTTTCTTAAGTGGAAAAGTAAACAAAATTATCAAACAAAGTATACCAAGAATAATTAAGAATAAATTATCCTCTGGGATTTATTGAATAATTAAGTGAATGTGCTACACAATACAAGTAATACCATAATTTACCTCTTAGCGTAGTAACGTACATTATGCGGATAGACTGGAATTTTCTTGAAACGCACCTGGAAAAGTCAGGGAATTTCATTCTCCTGTTTGAGTGGCAACCCTGGTTTGATTTAATCACTGAATTGTTAAATCTGCTTAGAATTCCTTTCTTACTAATTCTGAATATCCTTTAGATTTGATTCTCTCCATAAATTTTGGGAAACAAAAGATGATGACAGTGAGGAGAATGAAGCTCTTAAAGAAGTAAACATATGAATATTTATATAAATGACATTATGCTATTGATTGAAACGAAAATGCTTTTAATATTTATTCCTCAATGTAATTGTAGTAATTGGATAACATTTTTTGTAGGTTCAAATAGCAAGCCTTCGAACAAGAAAAATTGATTTTAGTGGAAAGTTTGAACCTGTGAAATGGTCTTGTCGAGCCCCTTTACCCAGTGGAAAGCTGTGTCCACGGAAAGATAGATACAAAGTACATATCATGTTGGGACTTTTTTTATAGTTTGGTAATTTTTCTTAGACTTTGTAGAGTTCCTCATTAGAATTTCCTTTTGTAAATTCTAATTTACATTTGAACATGAAGAATCTTAAGAACTGCTAAGTGAATAATCGCTTAAGCTCGTGTGGCAAGAAACAACAAGATGGAAGGGTAAATAACCCTTTATTATTCAAATAAGATTTAACATAACTCCGTTTTGGAGTGTACAGTAAAAGCCGACATTTGGGCTTGAACTTAAGAGGCTAAGAAATAAACTAAAACTAATCTAAACTAAAGAGATATAGCCGAAACTATCAAGATTCTAACCGACTTGGTCCCTTATCGCTATTAGACTGTGAAGCTATCAAGGGCCTGAGTATGGCCGAGCGTAATAACAGCTTTGAAAGAGCGTAGCCAGCAAAGCGGACACATGCGCTAATCAGAAACTCTGATTCTCTCTGACTCAGCAAGTAGCACTTCGCGGTTAAATACTGCTCCTCCTCAATAGCCCCGTTCACATGCAACGCTCCTTCGCACAGCTGCCGTTAGCAAGGGGAGAAAAAGGAGACATGAAAGAGTTTCGTCTTTAGGACCCGTTCAGAAGACCACTGTCTTCCTTTCCCTTTACACCTAAGCCTCTGTGAACAATCACGTCTCCGAATTGGCAGATTTCTAATACTGTTTACACATTTTTAACGTTGTTTACTATTGTTAATTTTGTAATCTGTACTTTCGCAACTGGTACCTGACCTTTTGTAATGGTTCCTGAAAAATATATGCTTTTTAATTATTATTATTATTTCATAAGCTGTTATTTAGTTCATTCTTGGTGCTTGTCGCTACGGTTAAAAGATGGTCATGGATTTTTAAAATGCTCCCCGATAAGATATAGAACTCGAACTTTGTACATACACTGCTTGTGGGTGTGGTGTCACGCTTTTGATTTTTAGAGGATTAGATTTTTTTCAAATTTAAAGTTGAAAAGACTTTTTGCAAATATTAACAAATAAACTGAGAATCTCAGAATATTATAGTTTGCACCATAACACACTGTGGAGGAAAAAAAAATTAAATGAAATTTTTAGCATAAATTTTTTTAAAAAAATATTTTGGGAGACTTTTTGAAATCGTTCATATTTTTTAGACTTTTGACACCCATTAATTTTTAAATTTCATATCTAAAAATATATCGGTTACAAATTCCGACATTTTCACAGCTTATTAAAAAAAACTTCTCGCATTTAAAAAAAAATGATAAAAGGAAATTAATTGGATGATTTTTTTACTTTTTAGAAAGATATGCAATGAAGCAGAATGGGAAATATTGGTTCTTGGGCATCAATTCGAAACATCAATTTCAAAGTAATAATCTCATTATACCACACTATTTGTATGGCACATTATTTATGCTATGTAAGTTGTTATTGTTACCATTTGTTAGTTCAGCGTGAGATTGGAGATATTTCTGAGTTAACTTTCTCTTAAGATGCTTTTTGCATTCCGTTGTGTTTAACGTTCTTATTAGATTGGAGCATAACTACTGATTATACTTAGTGATATTCTAAACACTTGTACGAGTATTTCTGTGGAAAACCAGAACTTTGAAGTGTTTCTGTTGATAAAATAAATTTAATTAAGCCATCAACGGATTTGAGTGCAATGACAATCATTTACGAGCTATTATCAATCTATTACAAACCCGTACGCACGCAACAATATTTTAACTAATTAATGTATTAAAATTGTTTTAAACGTGTTTTACAAAACAAAAACAGGCAAAGAAATATTCTGCTTGCGTTTTATGAGTTTGAAATTTTTCTGGCCACATAAGGTTTTAAAAAAATGTTTGTAATTTATGTTTATATTTACCAATTGAATAAATAGCACTAGGTTTGATTTATATACAAATGTGTGTATTGAAATTCAGTAATAAAATTTTAAAGATTTGAAATGATTAAATGCCTATTTAGACATATTGTATTCTTTAAACTGCAAATGCAAACTGAGAAACCTTTTGCACTTTTTTTTCAATAAATCCTTTTACTTAAAGTCCTAAAACATATACAGGTATGGACTAAATTTTTTATTATTTTTACTGCTTATTTAAAATTATATACTTTATAGAAACAAGGATGGGTTTTGCAAAATACTGAAAGGAAAAAATTATTTGAAATGAAAATGTGACTGAGATCATATTTGTTTTAAAAATTTTAGATAAAAGTGTATTTTTTTTCTCAGAAACTAATTCATTAATTGCAAAATCATTCCTTGAAGTTATTAAGAACACTCTAATCAATACAATAAAAAACTGGTGGGAGACATTGAAAATTGTAGGAGAAGAAAGACATTTTAATTGTAAAATTTTTCTTCAAAAATTTAAATTTAAAAAAAATACTAGCAAAAACTTTTTTTCAGCTTAAAATTATTTTGTCTCACAAAACCATTTAATAATAATCATAAAAAGTAGATGAAAATGCTTAAAAAAAAAAATCATTCAAAAGGTACCGAGTCTCTTGTCGTGTTGAAGCCGAAATGCACTTGTCTTAACTTTAGTTTTAATTTGAACGATATTTCTGGAATACCTAGCATCAGATAACCTTGTCTGTATTTGTCTATAATTTCCGTACCTTGTAGGGTTCTATCTAATTTTTGGGGGGATGCTATCACATCTCCAGACATCTATAAGCGCGATTGTTTCGCTGACAGTCCAGCGAGCAGTAACTGAAATTAAGTGAACCGCGCAGTATAGTACGGGAAATCTCCCCATTTGCCCTGCTCCCGAAAGGTAAGGAACATTCAACCAAGTTCTACTTCCAATTCGGCGAGGCAGTTAATGCTTGTTCCATGTGAACGGGACACGTTGGAAGAACTGGTTTTCGCTACTGGTCGAATCTGCTCTTGTGAACGGGACTAATATTTATTCAAACGTGATTCCTAAACTATGTTCTGGCCAGAAAGTAGTAAGTTGAAGTTAAGAATTTGACAGGAAAGGAGTTTAACTCAAAATTTAACTGTTAATAAAATTAACATAATCCTTACAACTTAAAATGGAAACAGACGTAATACTGCCTAAGCATTTCAGTAAATGTTATTAGATTATTAATAATTATTGAGCTAACAGTAAATAAATGTTATGTATTCTTTCTCATTTATATAGCAATAAATACATTTTTTGCTCTGTTTTGTTTTCTGTTATGCTTATTTTTAATGTACTGTACTGAAATAATTATAATTTCAAAGAACTTGTTTAGAATTGGATTAAAAAATAATTTTCTGTATATTATTATCATACAATCAAAAATGCTCATATATTCTAAATAACAATACATTTTTAATATTTAAATGCATATCTTAGTGTTGTTAAAAGTTAACAAAATTAAATTTTCTGAAAGGTTTCTGGTTTATAAGAACATGTATATTTATATGAAACTTCCTAAAAATGTAATTTTAAAAAGGTATAAGAGAAAACTGTATTCAAAACATTCATAGTTATAATCTTAGGGTTTATTACCGATGACAGAATGATTGACATTATAATGACTTTTCTTTTGTAAGTCCTCAATATAAGCATCCCTTTTATGGCAGAGAATCAATATATGGTTGTGTGACAATTAAATGATCAAAAAACATTTATCTATTTTTTATATTTTGCATATTGTACAGATTCAGGATTTATTTATGGTATGCAGTTTATTATGAATAAAATTTTAATAACTTTTATTGTTCAATTCTAGTGCCCATTTCATGGGAAAATTATAAAACGAGATTCACAAGGCAATCCAGTTGATAAAGTAAAAAGTACATCAAGTCCCGCTTCTCAATCTTCAGCTACAGGTATGTTCTTTTTTCAGTGAATTTGAATTTTTCTGAAATTCTTCCAAGTTGATAAGAACTTCCAATATAATTTGAATAATTTTTTTAGCTTTGACCTGCATTAACTTTGAACTGTTACATTCTGAAGGTTTACAAAAGTATGCTATGAGTACCTGTTGTTTAAATATTTTTTCTTTCCAACTGCTGATATTTAAATACAGTGAGGTTCCGAGGCGTAGCTAAGGTTTTAAGCGCCCAGGGACACCTAAAGATTTTGCGCTTCTTTCTGTGTTCCAAGAATGGAAAATTTTTCATTCTGAAATGTGTATCATCAGTTTGGTGCCCCCCTAGATGCTGTACCCGTGAATGGATGACACCCTTTGCCCCACCCTAGCTACGCCACTGGTGAGGTCCAAAATTCTAGGAAAATGTTCAAAACATTTTAAGTGGTGAAATTTCTGTAAAGAAGGCTAATATTTTGTATCGTCATGACAAGTTAAATATACAAATTAATAAATGATTCATTATACTTTTTATTAGTTAAATACAAGAAGTTTTTGTGTGTGCTTGGGTGTGTGTAAAATTAACAAAGATCTCAAGAACAAATTTGCTGATTTAGATCATTTTTCCATATTTCTTAGCAACTTAAATTCAAGACTCTGAGAAAGAAACAAGGAACTGTTATAAAATTTTTAAAAAAGGACTTGTTTTTAATTTTGTTTAATATGTCTTCTAATTAATGATTTTTTCCCTCTCCTTGGCCATCATATAGCTGTTCCTGATTGGCAAGATCCTGAGCTTTTACGAGACATTGAATCAGCAACTGGACTGAACTTAGAAATTCCATGCAAGAAATCAAAAACTGGAAAGCAGGTAAAAGGAAAACAAGGAAAGAAAAAGTGTGGTTTAACCAACATTAATGTTCCTCGGACTAGTGCAAGAGAAAGGTTAACAAAGAAAATTTTGAAGAGGTAAAATTCCTTTTAATATGACAATGAAATGTTACTTCCAGCAAAATTCTACTTCGAACGTGCATGAATATTCACATCTATAAATATCATTAATAATTATGGCACTTACATATACAGTACTTAAGTTCTCAAGCCATCACTTTACCTAGTGTTCACTACTTTTTCTGAATATTACCAGAACATTTAAGTGCAAAGCACAAAAGAAAAATATACAAAACACAATTTGGAGAATTTAGAACTTCTAATTGCAAAGGATAGGTACACAAACAATTGTGTCCACTCAAAAATCTCAAGCACACAAAAGCACTCATTCTAGAAGCAATAGGAATCATAGCAATTTTTTTATCAAATACCAACCAACTTTTGTCTATCAACATATATTTAGTTTTAAAAGCGCTCCTGAATTCTATATTTGTTATTAAATTTATTGAATAAAAAGTCAAGGATTCAAAAGATGTCTGAAGACCAGAAGTTTGTTTTTTAATCAAAAAGTTTATACCACAAGTGAGGAATATGCAACTTTCATGAGTTTTGTGCGCAGCTTCTAGCTCTTCTATTAAAGCTAGCTCTTGTATTAATTAATATTTAATTATATAGATTATGACAATTTTAAAATTAATAGAATTAAATAACGTGCTGCCATCTGTTGAGCGTAACATGAATTAAAATGCTGCAGTGCTGTAGCTCTTATGCTCTGTCATAGCCTGAAGTTTAAGTACGTACTTTTCCCCCTCTATCCCAACCCTTCAGTGTTCCCCCGTATATTGCAGAGTTGATGATCTGTAGTTATTTATGCATGCTTGTAACAATCTCATCTCGTATTGCTAACGCCCACTGTGAGAATCTAGTTGTTATTTTGCTTTCATTTTATGGTTTCACTAGTACGCAGTTTTATTGTATTATTAGCAAGTATACAGTTTCTTAAAGATATTGTTTATATTCGTTTTTCCATGATTAAGTCAAACTGTAAGAGAAGAGTTAAATGATGAAAATAGAGCATTTAATGCTAAGTGGGAGTTAGATTATTTTTTTACTTCTGTGAAAGTCAAAATGGTGTGTTTATTGTGCAATACAGTTTTAACTACCTAGAAAAACATGAATGCAAATAAATATTATTTGACTCATAAAGAGCATAAATATTACAAATTAGAAAGTGAATCTCGACAAGCTGCAGTTAAAAAATTGAAAAATGAAAAGCATCATCGACAGGCATCTTTTAGTCCTTTTGTAAAGAGAAATACCTCTGCAGTTGATACTGCTTGCAAAATAGCACATATACTTGGAAAAAGAAGCAAACTCTTTAGTGATGTAAAAAATATTGTTGAAGCAGTGGTATATTAGATCACAAACAGCTGCCTCTTTCAAAAAGAACTATAACAGATCAACAGCACGAAGTAGCTCAAAATGTAACAGAGCAACTTCATACACTTATATAAAATTAATATGTTTATATTTCGATTGCTTTAGATGAAAACACTGATAAAACTGACTCTCACAGATTTTATATTTTATTCATGCTGTAACTAAACATTTTCAATGTTACAAAAAACTTCTTGTGCTTCTAACTGGTAATCTCATGGAGTTGACATTTTCGAAAACTCCAGAGAAGTGTGCCATCAATTACAATTAAATGTCAGTGCCTGCACTGATGTCACACCTTACATGAGAGGTATAAAAAAAGGCTTCATTGCTTTAAAAAAGGAAAAACTTGAAAAATTGGTATCATTTCATTGCATTTTGCATCAACAAAATCTCTGCACAAAATTCACCATTTTGCAAGACACTGGATAGAACTATTGTCATTGTCAACTACATTCGTGTAGATACAATGTGTTATCATGAATTTCTGCAGATGCTAAATTTAGATGAAAGAGCGTATAGTGTTGATCTACTGTATTACTGTAAGGTTTGCTGGTAGGTTTTGATAAAAGTTTTAACTTTACGATGACAAATTAAAAATTGTTGTTTCAAAAAAAAAAAAAAAAAAGGAAAACTTTGTAATCCATCAGATGAAGCACTTTGCGGAATTTTAATTTTTGTCCGATATCAGAAAAAACAAAACAATTTAAATAGTTGCTTGCAAGGTTAATTGAAGCATATATGTAAATGTGGCAAAGATCCAAGCATTTAAAAAAAAATTGCATTTTGCAAAACATTGGTTTCTTGCTTGGATATATCTTCAGAACACTTCCTGGAGATAGCATTGCTATGAAACTAATATCTGAACAGTATTTAGTAGCTATATCTGAGGCTCATACGAAACTACAGATTAGTTATTTGATTTGGGAAAAGAGAGTATCTTTAAATCCATTTTTGATCATAGAATGAATCCCACAGAAATCTGACAAAATGTTGCTGAATATCAATGCCTACAAGATCACGCATACCATTTACTTTCCTGCTTTAGAAGTAATTACTGCTGCAAGTCAACATTTTTCTCATGACAAAAATTAAAACTAGTTTAAGAATGCAAATTGCAGAGGCATATTCAGGGCATCAATTAAGACTGCACATTATGAAGCTTGACCCAAATATTCAATTACTTTCAAGCAAGAAACAAATGCAAATGTCCCACTAAATTAAATTTTTAAATTATTGTATGAGGGACATTCAAATGAAAAGGTATGAAACGATGCTGTGGGTGTAACTGAAGACGTCACAAGTCATCACCAGAAGCCTGAGCACAACTATCCCACTGTTTTATGAGCTGAAGTATTCACTGTTCCCAGAATTCCTGTGGCTGTTAGAGGAGCCAGTCCTCCACTGTGTACTTGAGTTCGTTGTCCAAATTGAATTGCTTCCCTTTGAGATTTTTTTAGCAGACCAAACCCATGGAAGTCGCAGAGTGACATGTTCAGGCTGTAGAGGGGATGCTCAACCTGCTCCCACTTGAACTTGGTCATTCACTTTGTGTGACATTGGAAATGTATGGGCATACGTTATCGTGGAGTAGAATCACTCCCTTTATGATCAGCCCAGACCATTTGCTCTTGATGGACATGGGTAGCTTACAGAGTGTTTCGCAGTATACATCACTGTTAATGGTTTTTCTGTTCTCAAGAAATTTGATGACTATCAGACCTCAGATCTTGAAAAAGACAGATGTGTAACCTTGCCTGCTGAGGGCACAGTTTTGGACTTTTTAGGGGAAGATGATGTCTCATGCTTCCATTGCATGCTGTCCCGCTTATTCTCTGGCTTGAAATTATGGCACCAGCTCTCATCATCAGCAGAGATCTGCTCCAGGAAAGCTGGGTCTTCATGATACCAGAACAAATGTTGCAATACTAGCCCCATACACATTTCCTTTTACGTTTCACTGAGCTTCTTTGGAACCCACTGCGTGCATACTTTCCAGTAACCCAATCTGTCATGCACAGTTGTCCACACTGTTCCAACACTAGTCCCCAACATCATTGCCAACATTCACTTTGTGACACGCCAATCACTTCTCATCAGGTCATTGCCTTTGTTCATGAATTCACCTGTGATTACCATTTTATATGGCCTGGTCTTGGGTCATGGCTCAAACGTTCCCAGCTTTTTAAAAAAATGGGTTCTCCACTTTTTCACTCACTTGTCAGAGCACACAGTCTTTCTGTATGCAGCCATTGTCCAGCAATAAATATCAGCTAGTTTAACCCCTTCCACAGTCAGAAATCTGATAACACCTTGCTGCTCCTCAATTGTCAAATTTTGCTATGCGAATGCCATGATGTCCTCATACATACTGATGCATCAATTGGATGGAACATATAACTGCCTACTTCTCATCTGTATTATGTGCAGGCACCAGTACATGTGCACAACCACACTGGACACTATATTAGCATCCCAAGAGATGCCTCACCATGTTACCTCAAAGCAGCATATTCAAATTTCAAACGATTTTGGTTGTTACAACGTTTCATACCTTTTCATTTGAACACACTTCATACATATTACACTATGCTAATTTTTTATAACTTTTTATTATTCTATTGTATATCATTATAATGTAATAAATGTATTTAAAAATACTTCTGTTAATATTATTACTACTTAATGTTATTATTTTCCTATTGTATTTTTAATAATATATTTATTTAAGAATACTTTATTATTTTATTTGAAGTAGTATTGAAACATATATATTTATTTATTAAATAATAATTAAAGATTAACATTATAACAAATTATTACCTTTATGTGAATACTAAAAATATAAAACGTTGTAGTTTTAATAAATAATATTCTAGCAAAAATATTGCAGCTTTAATAAATAAACGACTAACTTTTTTTTATTTCTATATAATGCGTAAACTGATAAAACTATACAAAAAATATAATAATTTCACAAAAGATGCATTTATAGGTATAACAACTTATGTGGTGTCCTTTATTACTACTTAATTTAAATGTGACCTCTAATGGTAAAAAGGTTCCCCACCTCTGGTCTCCCCTCTTACTAAAAGTTGTGCTGCAGTACTCAGAGACCCCACTGGGAAAAAAATTATATTAAAGGTGTTTCAGCAGAAATCTACAATCCATCACAATCGCACAGGGTTTTGGACAGTAATTTGAAAAAAAATGCCTGTAATGCTAATTTGGAATTACACAAAATAACAAATTTTATAAAGGAATCCTAAAAGAAAGATGCTCAATAGTTATAAATAAAGCTTTCATGTCAGAACTAGATACAGTAGAAAAAAGTCCTATGGGTAACTTCAACATGAAAAGGTTATACAAACATAAACAGCAATGGCCCATTACCTTTCCAGCAGTAAAGCACCATCAGTTTATACATAAAGTTAGTTGTTGGCAACGAAGGATTATCAATAGCTTCTACAGAAATAGTGCAGATGTAATTAGATATTTTCTTACCTTCACTTTCTCTCTGAGGTCTAATCATTAGTAGTGATAAATGTGTATCTTAACGTTTTCCTTAGTTATTCTTATTTATTCTTAAATTTGTTAAAAAAAGAAAAAAATGCAAGATTTTTCTAAAATGCAGCTTTAAAATGAGGAAAACTGCTTCCTTAGCAGCTTTAGAACTACACATCAAGAAAAGTAATTATGGTTAAAATATGATGTATAAATTTATATAAATTGGAACAGAAATTTATTTTAAAATTTTAATTTGTGTTGTGTGAATTTTATTATTAAATATTAAAATACAATTTCTTTTGAAAAAAAATTACTTTCATATTAGAAAAATTAATAACTTTAATTTTTAATTGAGTAGAGGAAAGTCACTATAATTATTCATAAAGTCTGTTGTTGATGTAATAGCTAATATCAAAATATTCTTTCTTTAAAGTTAACTTGGTTGTAAAGCATTAAATTTATATTCTTGTTATGCTATTTTTTCAATTCATTCTATTATTTTATTTAATTAATTAATTATTTTTTTGAATCAATGATATTTTACAACAGCTTTGAAGTTTTTTTACAGATATAAGCATTATGCTCCCAAATTGGATGAAATGGAAAGGAAGAAGTTTAATGACAAATTTGGTGATCAGTGGAATTACTATTAACCCTCATAAATTGTATACAATTATATTTTTGTATTGAATAAAATCATTTGGTACAACATTATTTATGTACTTGTAGTTGCAACAAAATATGCTACATATATGTCAATGCTTAAGAAAACGTTTTACTAAGAATTCATCACTAAACAGTAATTTTCATCCATGATATTTTTTAAACATTAATGCATTTGAAATGCATAACACAAGATATAGAAACTATAATTCAATTATTCTTACAGTGGCATGCTTTGTTTCAATTTACAATCTAAAACCTTGAATTCAGGTATTACGTTTAGAAATATTAAATATGCATTAATACAGTCAAAAGTCGTTAATTCGGACACCCGTAATCTGGAATGATCTATAATCCGGACCTCAAAGCTACAAACTTTCTGCGCATGTGTCACGTTTACGCGTGCGCGTAACACCTTTACGGCTGCGAATTTGCGTGTGCACATGCGCATTTAATGTATAATGGATGGCATAAGCTAAGCTAAAATTATCTAATTCAGTTAATGTTGCAGATTGCATTGTTCCTCAATCTTCGAATTGGATCCGGCTTATTATTTTTTGCAGACTGTTAGGGCAATTTTATAAAAGTAAGCTTGAACTTTTGATTATGTGAAATAGAATTTCCGATATATATTTAGTAATATGTAAAGGATCTACAAAGCGAAAGTATGTTTCGAAGTCCATTAAACAAAAAGTGGAATTGCTGCAAAAAATGGATAAAGGCATATCCTTTGTTTATCTAACCATTCCAAAATCTGTTTATCAATTTCATGCTGCTCTGCGTGTGTGGGGCGGGGAGGGGGGGGGATCGCGGCATGCAATGAACTGGAAGTTGATCAGTCAGCACTATCCTTATCTTTAGGGCAGATGTTTTTATTTTTTTGGCTTATAATTCCTTACTAAATGTAGTATTTCATCTCGATGTACTCCGTCTTTGATATGATTTAAATCAAATTCCTCGTCATTATAAATATCACAAGTACACATCAAATAGTTTTCTGGTTCCAATTTTCTAATTTCGACTATGCGTAATGTATGCTTTACGCATGCGCGCGTTGAAAGAAATGTTTAATAAAGTAAACAAATAAATATTAAGTTTTTTTTTTTTTTTTTTTTTTTTTTTTGTAAATTTTGATACTCTTTAGATCATAATTGTTCTTTATTTCATAAATTACGGTTTCATATTTTTAATTTTGTAATTTCTGCATGCCATCTTACCAGATTTAAACTTATGATCTGTAATCCGTAAAAATCGATAATCTGGAATCGCCGAAGTCCCGACGAGTCCGGATTAATGACTTTTGACTGTATTTAAATAACAAACTAAATTGTGTATTATGTAAGCATTACTTTGTGTTTGTTTGTTACTTTTCATGTCTAATTTTGAAAAATAAGATGCTGATTGTCAATATGTAAAGAAAAATTATGCATATTAATATTTTTAATAATTTGTTTGATTTGCATGCCCTTATATTAAGCAGATATTTCTAAAATGCAAGAATTTTGGAGAAGTTTTTATCAGGTCTTAAAATTTACTAACCTTTTAAAAAATAGATTGCCAGAAAATTTAAATTTTTCTGCCAAAAAGTATTCAGTTTGCTTTCAGCTAACATGTTCTTTCAAGGAGAAATATATCTTCACATATATATATTACAAATTGATATAGTGTTATACATTGAACTAATATACTATTGTACATTAAATTCAGATAATCTTTTTAATATTTATTAATAATATCTGGTTACATCAAAAGTTTTCCAGCACCATCCTTAAGTTAGGAAAAAAACATGAAAGCAGTACCTTCAGTATGGGTAGTAGTAATCACCACACAAATATATTATTTTCTGCCAACGTTTTGGTAGTTTTTCAAAGCCTTCGGCCTTGAAACTTGCTGGCCCGAGTCCAAAACAGATCAACCTCTTTCAAACGTCTTGTACAGAATGGAAGATAGCACTAGCAAGATGTAGCTGCAGGCGTGAAAAATGGTAGAGGTCCAAAGTAGCAATGTCGGGTCTAGGTGGTGGGTGTGTCAAAAGATCCTATATGAGTCCGTATAGAGTCCAGCCAGTGAATGCAGACACACGTTTTCTTGCATTATCTTGATGGAAAATTACCTGTTCGTGCCAGAATTCAGTTCAACATTTTCCCTTGATAGCACATGGAGTAGCATTTTGCTGTACCTGTTACTGTCGAGGGTTTTGCTTTTTTTTAGGTACTCTTTGTGGATAATACCAAGGTAATCCTACCAAATGGTCGTTTTGTTTGTCAAATTGTGCTTTGCGAGACTGCCAACCAGGCTCACTGGGAGCAAACAACCCCCTTTTTTGCCTATGTTATTGAAGTAAATCCACTTTTCATCACAACTGACGATCCTGTCCCGAATTTTGTCCTTGCATTGATATTTGATGATATTAGATTAGTCAGGTTCAAACACTTCTGTCCTTATCTTGTTGAATCAGCTCATGCAGCACCTAGCGTTTGTTTCAAGTTTACACCATGCATAGTGCAACTAATGGACATGGTACTAACGTCTAACTCCTTAGCAATTTCTCGAGTGGTTGTATACTGAACTTCCTCCACAAATTCACACTGGCAGGACTCATCAACGTCAGTAGGCCGGCCAGAGCACTCTGCTTTTTGAATATCATAGTCCTTATTTTTGAACTTTTGTTACCAAACCTTCACATGTCATATGATACAACATTAGGACCTAAAGCTGTTTCTATGATTTGGTGACATTTTATAGCTGACTTTTTGTAACAGAACTGGAAGTAAATGGTGGTTCTAATCTGGTAGCGTAATAGCTCCATTTTCAGACACCTTGTACTTAATGATATTTTTTTACAAATTTCACAATACAGTGTTATAAAGCAAGTCTCTTTCTTACAAATGGTAAAAATTGTTTGAGTAAATATGATTAAACATGGCAACGCGAATTATTTATGCAGACGCTATTTGCGGTGGTGGAAGACTTTCATTAAAATCCGATATTTATGTTGCAAATAACTTTTATTTGTGATTATATTTCCCATTTGTATTTTACAACATGTGTGGCAACACGCTTTTTATATTTTTCTCTTGGCAACGTTTTTTTAGTTGTTGTCACTGTTTTATTTTACCATGTAGAATTTACTGTACTTGTGCCATTTTGTGTTTCAATATATGTTAATTTAGATGAATCTCTGCTTATTTATTTGTCTCCATTCCTAACATTAGTCTTCATCAGGTTATGGGTACCAGCATGATATAACTGTGCGGGGAAATTTATGAGCGAAGTGGAGATAAACATTACTGGCAGTTCGTAAGCCTAACACGGCAGTTCTTAAGCCTTACGTGAGTCGGCAAATTAGTTCGCAAAAATGGAAGCTGCAAAGATATTGGTTCAGCCGTTATGCGGAAAAAGTGATTGGCCTATTTGGAAATATAGAATTAAATTCGTATTAAATTATCACAAAAACGCTTTAGAAGTTGTGGAAGGAAAACTGAAGAAGCCAGAGGAGCCTGATCATGCGGCCGGCGAAGAGATTCGAAAGAGATTTAGAGATGATATGAAGGTTTTTAATAAAGCAAATAATTGCGCTATGATGGTTCTTACGAACTCCATGACTGAAGACACTTTACAAAAGGTAATGAGATTTGACAGCGCAAGAGACATTTGGCTGGAAACTTCACAAAGTATTCGAAGATTCGTCCGATAACCAACTTTATAACATATGTTTACAGTTCTTCAAATTCAGTTGGTCAAATGATGATATGGCAGCTCATTTGTCAAAATTGAAAAATCTATGGAATGAACTGAACAGTGGGCTTGAAAATAAGGGAAAAAACAGACTGCCAGAAATGCTGTTGATTTGTAAAATATTGGATACTCTTCCTCCCAGTTATTGTACTTTCAAATCGAGTTGGTTACTTCTTAGTGATGAAAAGAGAACTTTAGATTAATTAACCACCCAATTGTGCACCCATGAAAGAGAATTAAGAAAAGCTCCTAATTTTTTAGAAACTTTAGATCAGGAAGCATTGATAGCAAATCCGGAATTTAAGTGGAAATCATCTATTAACAAGAAAAACAATGGCAAGTGTAATTATTGCCACCAGAGAGGACATTGGGTCAGAACATGCAAGAAATGGATAGCTGATGGAAAACCGCCGAAACCCAGTCCACATATAGGGCCAAACAAGGGAAGTAAAAACAGTGTTGCTGAAATATGACACTTCTAGCTGTAGATGAGGCAATATTTTCTGCAGAAACAAATTCTGATGATTGGTTTATTGATAATGGGCGCCTCAAAGCACGTCGTCAATAACAGGTCACTACTTTACAGACTTTGAAAAGATTTAAGTTTCCCTCATTAGCATCACAGTAGCAAATGGAAAGTCATTACCAGCAACTGAAAAAGGCACTATCAAGACAATGACCACTGTAAATGGGATGAATCAAATCAAAATTCTTGAAAATGTCTGGTATGTTCCAGAAATAAGTAAAAATCCATTTTCCGTGTTAGCATTTCAAGATAGAAACCAGAACAGTGTGTTTGAATTAAAATGTAAGGATTGCTATTTAAAAATAGATGGTGAAATAGTTCTGCATGGTATAAGAAATGCTGGTGGGGGCCTCTTCAAAGCTGTGATGAAGACCTTAGTTCCTGAAACTCACATTGACATAAACATGACTGAGAATAATGAATCAATTCTCCAACTTTATCATGAACGTTGGGGGTCACCCAGATGAAAAGCATGTAAAGGCCATTGTTGAGAAAGAGTTTGAATATTAAGATTAAGTCTGATATGAAATTATGTGAAGCTTGTGTATACGGAAAATCCCACCGTTTAAAGTTTGGAACCAGGAAAGCGGTTACAAAAGCTGGAGAATTGTTCTCGACAGATATTTGTGGGCCATTTGATCAGTCATTTAGGAAATACCGTTACTTTGCAATCTTCAAAGATGCCTACATCAAATTTCGATACTGTTTTTTCTTAAAGCACAAATCAGAAGTAAAAGATGTGCTTGAAAATTTCATGCTGAGAACTTAGGGCATACGGTTAAAGAAA